AGGAATAATATAATAAAAATGGCCATCTTGCCAAAAGCAATCTACAGATTCAATGCAATCCCCATTAAAATCCCAACTCAATTCTTCACAGAGTTAGAAAAGGAAATTCTCAAATTCATATGGAATAACAAAAAACCCAGGATAGCGAAAACTATTCTCAACAATAAAAGAACTTCGGGAGGAATCACCATCCCTGACCTCAAGCTGTACTACAGAGCAATAGTGATAAAAACTACCTGGTATTGGTACAGAGACAGGCAGGAAGATCAATGGAATAGAATTGAAGACCCAGAAATGAACCCACACTCCTATGGTCACTTGATCTTTGACAAAGGAGCTAAAACTGTCCAGTGGAAAAAGGACAGCATTTTCAACAAATGGTGCTGGTTCAACTGGAAGACAACATGTAGAAGAATGAAAATTGATCCATTCTTATCTCCTTGTACAAAGCTCAAGTCTATGTGGATAAAGGACCTCCACATAAAACCAGATACACTGAAACTAATAGAAGAGAAGGTGGGGAAAAGCCTCGAATACTTGGGCACAGGGGAAAAGTTCCTGAACAGAACTCCAATGGCATATGCTCTAAGATCGAGAATTGACAAATGGGACTTCATAAAATTGCAAAGTTTCTGTAAGGCAAAGGACACTGTCAATAGGACAAAACGACAACCAACAAATTGGGAAAAGATCTTTACCAATCCTTCATCTGATAGAGGGCTAATATCCAATATATACAAAGAACTCAAGAAATTAGACTCCAGGCAACCAAATTACCCTATTAAAAAATGGGGTATAGAGCTTAACAAAGAATTTTCAACAGAAGAAACTCGAATGGCCGAGAAGCACCTAAAGAAATGCTTGGCATCCTTAGTAGTCAGGGAAATGCAAATCAAAACAACCCTGAGATTCCATCTCACACCAGTCAGAATGGCTAAGATTAAAAACTCAGGTGATAGTAGATGCTGGCGAGGGTGTGGAGAAAGAGGAACACTCCTCCATTGTTGGTGGGACTGCAAGATGGTGCAACCACTTTGGAAATCAGTGTGGCGGTTCCTCAGAAAATTGGACATAGCATTACCCGAGGATCCAGCTATACCACTCCTAGGCATATACCCAGAAGGTGCTCGAACATATAATAAGGACATATGCTCAACTATGTTCATAGCAGCCTTATTTATAATAGCCAGGAGCTGGAAAGAACCCAGATGTCCTTCTACTGAGGAATGGATTAAAAAAATGTGGTATATTTACACAATGGAGTATTACTCAGCTATTAAAAACAATGAATTTGAGAGGTTCCTAGGTAAATGGATGGAACTAGAAATTATCATACTGAGTGAGGTAAGCCAATCACAAAAAAGACACATGCTATTCACTCACTGACTATTGGATATTAGCCCAGAACCTTAAAATGCCCAAGATGCAACTCACAGGCCACATGAAGTCCATAAAGAATGAAGACCAAGTGGGGGTGATTCGGTCCTTCTTAGAAGGAGCAACAAAATACTCAAGGGAGCAAATATGGAGACAAAGCGAGGGACAAAAACTGAAGGAGGGGCCGTCTGAAGACCTTTCCACCTGAGTATCCATCCCATGTGCAGTCACCAAAGGTAGATGCTGATGTGGAAGTCAGGAAGTGCATGCTGATAAGAGCCTGATATGGATGTCTCCTCAGAGGTCTTCAAGAGTCTGACATATTCAGAGGCAGATGCTCACAACTAGCCATTGAAGTGATCATGGGGTTCTCAATGGAGGAGTTAGAGTGAAGACTGAAGGAGCTGAAAGGATTTGTGGCCCCATGAGGAGAGCAACAATACCAACCAACCACAGCTCCCAGGGTCTAAACCACCAGCCTGGGAGCACTTATGGAGGGATCCAGGGCCTTAGCTGAATATATAAGAGTGGAGGGCCCTGCTGGGCACAGATGGAAGATGAGATCCTTGACCTCATGAAGGCTGGAAGCCCCAGGGGGTGGGAGTTTTGAGGGTGGGGAGGTGGGAGTGTGGGGGTAGATAGAGGTTACATCCACAAAGAAGAAGGAGGAGGTGTGAGGGGATTGGGGGTTCCTGGGTGGGTGGGGGATGGGGTAAGGGGACAACATATGAAATGTAAATAAAACATCCAATAAAAAAAAAAAAGAAAAGAAAAAAAAAATATAACAAGGAAGCAGACTATTAACTATCTACTTTAAAATAAAACAAAGTTAACAATAAAAAAAAATATCTGTAAACATAACGCTGTTTCACACTATGTTATCTGGGTCTCAGAATATAGCTTAAGAAAGTTTATTTGAATGGCAAATTATTTAGCATTACCAATTAAATTTCCCAACACTTAACAAAATTTACAAGTTACAAGATACTTAAAGATACATTAAAATAATATTCATATTGAGAATAAAATACATTAACTAACTGTAACCAAAATATACACACTTGGTTGAGTATAAAACAGAAACTAAGAATTGCTATAACTATATTTTACATCATTATGATGGGATAGGAAAACTGGATTAAACCTAGGGTTAGGTATAAAGCCACCCAAATTTCACATCTAAAAAATATCAGTAACAATATACGCCATTAATAATATACACCAAAAGGAATTACTCAAAGATTAGACACCAATAATGTCATTAAACTTCACAATAAAATTATATAAAATTATGGAAGGGGAAGCACCACAAAGAAAATAGAATCGGAATGACTAATATTACCACTTTAAAGGAACAGTATATAATCATTTGGTGGTTCCTTATTTAAAAATAAAGACTGACTCTGACAGATACAGACACCCAAAGCCAAATAGTCAGTAGAGCTCGGGGACTTTTATGGAAGAATTGGAAGAAGGATTGCAATCCCCAAAGGGATAGGAACTCCACGGGAAGACCAACAGAGCCAACTAACCTGGACCCTTGGGGTTCTCAGTGTCTGAAACACTAACAGAAGAACATACACAGGCTTGACCTAGGCCTTCCTGCACATATGAAGCAGATATGCAGATTGGTCTTGTGGGTCCCAAACAGCTGGAATATGGGAAGGGGGTGGTTATCCCAAAAGCTGTTACCTGTCTGTGGAATATGTTCTACTAGCTGGGCTGCCTTGTCTGGCCTTAGTGTAACTTCACAGACTTGAAGTTCCATGGTGGGTGGGATGGATACCCAGAGGGAACCACCTACTCAGGAGAGGAGAAGTGGGGGATGGGGAAAGGATTGTGGGAGGGGGTCACCTGAAGTGGGCAGTGAGTGGGATGTAAAGTGATTAAGTAAAATAAATAAACAAAATAAAGACTGAGACATTTGAAAATTTGACGAAAATTATGATAATACTGATATAAAATGATCAGTAGATAAATGAGAAAAGTATCCTCAGTATATAAATTAATTCCTTGATCAAAATTCACTTGTTTTTTACTAATTAATTATTTTCTCTATTTATATCCCAAATGTTGCCTCCCTGTCCCAGTCCCCACTTCAGAGTTCTTCTCCCGCTTCCACTCCCCTTCACCTCTGAGAGGGTGGAGGGTACACATAGTATAAACAAAGTCCTTATTTCAGAATTACTCAACCTTTTGAATGTATAATGCATTATAGTTTTACTTCTATATTGTTTGTTTTTATTATAACTAATTCAGTGCTTTTATAATAAATAATTATATTTATTTTTTAATATTATAAATAGATGAATTATATATCCTTTTTGGTTATCTTTGGAAATTAAATAAATTTAGATATCTCTCCAAGAATATTTTATATGACTGCATCATATATATACCTTTCAGGCAGAAATCACATTATGCTTCCTTAATTTGACATTCACTTTGGTACTACTGAGAATGCATCTTCTATAAGATAGAAGATCATAAACTAATGAATTTTCTATAATGTATGTTAACATTGAAGTGTGTACAAATTTGATTGATAATATACAACTAAAGAAGACTACAAAATATTTTTATGTAGCCTGTAATTTATTATGTGCTTGAATGCTCAATTTCTGAACATAAGTTTGCTAGGTGAACAAACACTTGAGAACAAAGAATTGTAAAGTCTAATATCATATTGAATCTAGAATTTTAAAATGTTTAGATTTGTAAATGATTTAACATTTTCTTTGCTTTCTTCTATCTTAATCATTATTTTTGGTTATTAAATGTTGGCCACATTTCAAGCCCATTTGAATGAAAATGGCAACATGAATAATGGAAGACAAAGCAACAAAAATACTTCACATAATAAACCATATGTCTTAGGCCAGATCTATATGTTAAATCAACTAAATTATATACTCCACAATTCAATTTATTTTTATCTTCACATTAAAAGACACAACAAGTTGAAATTAAATGATTCCCTGGTTATAATCCATATGTTGCATTTCCATTAACATAAACCAGAAAAAGTCAATAAGTACTAACAATTAACTCGACATTGTTTTGGCCTCTAGTCTGTCTCAGAAGGCATTTTGTCAATAGGATGTATAGAAATATAGCTATATCACCACACATTGTCTTGCGGGAAAGAGACTTGTAATTTTATCATGATGGATATTTGAGGCAACTACTAAGTATACCACAGCTTCTCCTTCTGGACTGGTTCCAACATAAGGCAAACACACACACACACACACTCACACACACACACAGTGAGAGCGAGACCGAGAGCGAGAGCGAGAGAGAGAGAGAGAGAGGGAGAGCCCTAAACCACACTATACCCTGCTATAAGATGATTTCCTGCATCCCAGATGCAGTTACACTTCAGAGTTTATCAGATGGACCAGTAGTACCCAGGGAGATGCTGTCATCTTTTCACAAAACACTCATAGCACAATTTTTGGTACACTTTTTATTATGATTTTTATAGTATGTTCAGTGAGCGTCAAAAAAGTTAGGAATTATATATTTCATTCATCCTTTTAGTTGAACTTACAGTAGTGATATATGTGAAATAAGCTCCAAAAATAAAGCCAGCATGGAAAAGGAAATCTCAAAAGTCTTACCTTAAGATACCATTTGTATTTAGCATGTTCCCAATTTTCAGGATTTTGTGTCTTTTTGAAAAACTGCTCAACTTCATTCAGCCATTGATTAAATACCTTCATATCATAATGAAAGTGTCGCCATTTTTCAACTGATCTGTCAAATCGCCTAGAATTGAAAAACATTGATGAAACAAAGTTAAGTGGTTTATAGGACACATTTTATGGACACCACCTATTCTTTTGTTGTTTTTTTTTCTGTCAGATGCATCATTTTTGTAACATAATACATCTGTAGATTTTGTTTTTAATTATCAGACATAATAACTAATGTTATATAGGAAGTATGAATTAAAACAAAATGTAATATTTCCTTTAAAATTAAAAATATATATTGATTGAAATGACTATTAGACAATTACTTAGGAGTACTGCATCTTCCTCCATATGATAATTTTTAAAAAGTAATTTTTGGACTTTTAAAACATTTTAAAATTTTAAAAATTATGTGAGAACCATACATTCAATTTTAAAATTCATGCAGATCAAAATCAAACTATCTTATCAGTATGAGTTTCAAGCTTCCTCCTGATTCAGAACTCCAGTTAAGATTACTAAATATCCAGCTGCTTACAGAATTGCCTCCTATGCTACCTCCTTCCCATGGTGACTCTGCCAAATCTTTGTTCTAACCCATCTTGCTCCTTCCTACAGACTGTCTTATGCTCTCTTCTAGTCTACCCCCAATTCTTTTGTATCTGTCACCAATATGTAAATATAACTTCTGTCATTGACAGTCAGTGACCACATAGGCCTAGGACTCAGGAAGACAACTTTCAGTAATTTTTTTTTGTCCTACACTATAATATCTACTGTCTCCCCCTCAGCCCTGTAGCAGCCTGCTTGATGATGCCTTTCCTCCCACATCAAGTCAGTTCACTAGAGACTACAACTCATCATGTAAGCCAAAATCCCCCTAATCCTTTTATCTCTGTTGCTCTAGACATGATATTTACCTTAATGTAACCAACTTACAGGAGTCTCTGCCTCCAACTACCTGGAGGTCCCATCTTTTCATGAAGATAGATCCCCTTACCTCCTTCTTGCCTCTTTTCTAAGCATTTCCTATTAGCACACCTCTATTCTTTTATGTCACCTATTGACCTGTAGTAACATTATCTACCAGCCAACTCACAGCTATCTACTTCCTTAAGATCCAGACCAGACAACAAAAACCAGGATTAGCATACTCAACAACAAAAACTAGACCAGATATTAACACCTAGAATCACCTAAATTATTCCAAGGCCAAATGCCTTGATACCAGCACAAATGCACAAACATTAACATTTGAGACAATATGGCAATCTTAAAACAGTAGGCTTTGATAAATGCAATATAGCTGAAGTATAAGATAAATATTTAAAATAGAAAATAAGAATATATTTGAGGTCATAGAAGATATAAATGAATACTTTGATGGATACTGTGAAAATATGAACTGTGGAATGAAATAATAAAAACCAGACATGAAAACAGAACTTAACAAAGAAATATAATCATTAAAGAAAGCCTAAACTAAAGTAAAACTGCAAATGATTGATTTAGGAAGTCAAATAAAAACTTTTTATGTTAAGTACAAAGTACAAGATATGGAACAGCCATTGAATACAAGCTAAAAGAAATGGATGGATTAGTCAAAGAAAATAATACATTTTTAAAAATTCAGGGACAAACCACCCAGGAAATCTTTATCTGATGTACTATGTAAAGACAAAATTTGTGAATAATAGGGATAGATGAAGAAAAAAAACTACCCAGGTCAAAGTCACAGAAAAATTGCAATAAAAGAAAATTTCCTGGAGATAAATAAGTAGGTACCGATCAAGGTACAAGAAACATACAGTGCTCTCAGTTCTTACAGAGCCAATCACCAGCATCATCCCACACACTGCTATGGAACACCAGCAACAGCCTCAACTTAAAACCCTACTTCCTATGTATCACACAGACCATCTTATTCCTGGACTCCTTTCCTCAGCTCTTCACTGTTTCCCAGACCCCAACTTGGGCAGATAACCCATGCTTAACAACTAGACACACATGTCAGAAGGCCTGCCTTAAACTTTCTCTACTTGGTCTGTTTTCCAATTCTCAATCCTCAGTGTAGTCCCTTGTGCTGCATCAGAACATCAGTTTCAGCCTCCCTTTAACTTGTACATGCTTCATATGGATCCCACAAAGCACCTTGCAACTAGTCACACTTCCCCTCCCCCCTCCCCCGCCAACATCCAACATCAAGAACCATAAACATACAGGGAAGCAGGCCAGTGAAACATGCAACATACAATCAACACACTCTGAAATTCCAGAGAGGAAACAGAAAACAAGAAACATAACAAAGAGAAAACATCCATCGAAGACAAACCAAGAAGTCAGCAAATCTAGAAATATCATCACCCCAAAACCAGATGCCTAGACATCAGCAAGAAAATACAATCAATAACAGTGAGGACAATATGTATCTACTAGATAGAGCTCAGGTATCCTACCACAACAGGCCCTGAATATTCCAACATAGATGAAGCAGAAGATAAAAGACATTAAAATCAACTAGATGAATATGATAGTGTTCTGTAAAGAAGCAATGAGTAAATCCCCTATAAACAAATCCAGGAAAACAAAAAATTGGAGGAAAGAAATAAATAGCTTAAGAAATCCAAGAAAATTCCAAGAAACAACTGAAGGGAAAGAATGAAACTGTTCAAGACCTAAAACAGAAAATAGAAGTAAAGAAGATATAAACTGAGGAAATTTGGGAATCAAGTATTTAGGAATATGAACAGTAACTACAGAAGCAAGTCTCACCAACAAAATACAAGAGATGGAAGAATCTCAGGCATTGAAGATAGAATAGATGAAATAGGTACATAAGTCAAAGAACATACTACAGCAAAAAATATCTTGATATAAAACATCCAGGAAATATGGAACACTATAAAAACACCAAACTGGAGCATAATAGGAAGAGAAGAAGTAGAAGGTATCTAGCTCAAAGGCCCAGAAAATTTTTTACTAAAATCATGGAAGAAACTATTACTAACCTAAAGAAAAAGATATTTATAAAGGTTTAAGAAGCATACAGAAGGCCAAATTGGTTTACCCAGAAAATAAAGTCCTTTTGTCACATTATAATCAAAATGCTAAACATATAGAAGAAAGAATAGTAAAAGTTGCAAAGGAAAAAGACCAAGTAACATTAAAAGGCATAAAACATAAGAAAAAGAATTAAAATTACACCTGACTTCTCAATAGAGACTAAAAGTCAGAAGGGCTTAGACAGATGTGTTGAAGACTCAAAGAGACCATAGATATAATACTATATCCAGTAAAACTTCCAATCACCATAGATGCCTGGATAGCCAAAATCTGAATATTCCAGAAACCTAGGATAGAGCCAAACATGTGTGGAAAAAAAGAGTCAACAAAATGATTCCTAATGGCATTTTGCTATACTCATCATCAGAGAGGTTTCATCCATCAACTGGCAACAACAGACAGAATCCCTCGGCCAAACATAAAGCAGAGCTTTGGAAATTTTTTTAACTTTGTAGAAGATGGAGAGGACAAATTTTGGAGCTAAAAGAGGCAAGGAGACCACAAGAATATGGTTTATAGAATCAAATAAGCTGGGCTCTAGGGGCTCACAAAGTTTAAAGCAGCAATCAGTGAGCTTGGATTGGTCTAAGATAGGTCCTCTGTGTATATGTTACAGTTAAATAGTTTGTTATATTTAATCCTTTTCTTTTCTTTCTTTTCTTTTCTGTCTCTTTCTTTCTTTTTTCCTTCTTTCTTTCCTTCTTTCTTCTTTCTTTCTTTCTTTCTTTCTTTCTTTCTTTCTTTCTTTCTTTCTTTCTTTCTTTCTTTTTGTGTGTTTTTTTCAAGACAGGTTTTCTCTGTGTAGCCCTGGCTGTCCTGGAAATCACTCTGTAGAACAGGCTGACCTCAAACTCAGAAATTCACATGCCTCTGCCTCTCAAGTGCTGGGATTAAAGGTGTGCACCACCACTGCCCTGGTATTTGTAATCCTAACAGTGGAGGTTATCTCTGACTATTCTGCCTGCTCTTGGTGACTATTTTCCTCCCACATGGTTGCTTCATCTAGCCTTAATATGAAGGCAGGTGCCTAGACTTACTATAACGTTTTATGTTGACATTCCTGAGGTGTGGGCCCTTTTCTGAAGTGAAACAGAGAAGGAGTAAATATTGGAGAAAGAAGAGGTGGTGGGAGGGACTGGGAAGAGTGAAGGTAGGGAAAACAGTGGCCAGGATTAATATATGAGAGAAGAATTTTTTTATAAAATGAGTTTAATAGTGCTATCAAATTTAATACTGAATGATTTAGTAACATGAAACTTCTGCAAATATGGTTCCATCACTATAAATGTAATATAGGTGCATAATAATATATTTATAATTTCAAATTATATTGATACTTTACTTGAAAATAAATAAATAATGGCATTCAAAGGTTAAAGAAAAAGAATTCCATGTTTCCAAAGTAAAATGGAAACAATATCTATCAACAAATCCAGCTCTAAAGAAGGTGCTAGAATGAAACCTAACACCCAAGGATGTTAATTGTACCACAGGAAATACATAATCTCACACCATCAAAAACAAAAGAAGGGAAACACACAGACAGATGGACTCACATACCACCACCACCACAACCACAACCACCACCACCTCCTCCACCAGCAGCACTACCACAAACCACCACAACAACAAAATAAAAGGAATTAGCAATCATTAATCATCGATGTCTTTCAATAATAATGATTTCAATTCACCAACAAAAATATACAGAGTATCAGAATGGGTGCAAAAACAGGATCAATCATATTACTGCACCCAAGAAACACCTTAACAACAAGAATAGACACTATCTCAGGGAAAATAATACACACAAGAAATAATCAAATTGGGAGAGAGAGTGAAATCAATAACATAGAAATAAAGAGAACAATAAAAAGAATAAATGAAATAAAGAGTTGTATTTTTGAGACATCAACGTGATAGATAAACCCCTATGCAAGTGAAATAAAAGGCAGGCAGAGAATGGCCAAAGCAACAAAATGAGAAATGAAAGTGTATATGAAAACATAC